AATATTTACACGACATGCAATCTTTTTTTACAAGCCCCTAGAAATTGTTAACGATAATCCGTGAGCTGCACGTTGATATGCTTGTCGTAGATGGCAATACCAATTGATAAATTAGTGCGTACAAGGCAAAGTTTTTTTGTGGAAAATATAAGAAATGGCAACGATCAAAGCGGGATAATTAAAGCTGATTAACTGATAATCCCAATGTTATTACAGTATGTTCAAAGAAACCTAACGGTTCTTTGGTGGATGAGGAAAAATGTGAGTTGTCAATCATCGAGAATGGCGGCCGTGTGTTGATTGCAGTTATACCGTTTCACGAAAAAAACATTAGCAGTGGTCTGTCAATCAAGCTCGTTTACTATTTATAACGCAAATTTTTCGTTTCGGTTAAAACAAAATATACGTCCATTTTAATTGGCCGAAGGATGTGTGACTAATAGAAATATGACGGGCGGACAAACTGACCAAACAGTATATTTCGAGGTATTTGAGGTAAGCTAATTTAATATTATATCATAACTGCATGTGCATACTTGTGTTTCTGTGTAATTAAATATTCAAAAAATCATTCTGAGGATACAGCCTCGACACCAGTCAGCCCTGAATTGCAATGTTTGTTTTGTGTTCTGGGCGCCATTTTGAAAAAAACTGACATGACCTATATAATACAATCCAGCAATAGTGCAGTCAATTTCCTTTAAAAGGGAATCCGAATTTGTTAATTTTCTGCAATATCACTTCGGTGGTAGCGGACGTTAAATAAAGCTATTTCACGTACAAAGACCTACAATAAAATCCAGGTGAATTGGGAAAAATATTCATGTATTTTCTTATTGAAGAGTAGCTATTTCAATTTGTAAATGCCCAGTCATCTTAGACAAATAATAATTCCAACTTCAAATCAGTTGTATTTATTCAAATCATACTATGAATAATTGTATTTTTCCACTTGCATAATAATAAAAACTTGACTTTTATTATTTTATTTCTTCAGGCCAAGAACATGGAAAATTGGTAATTGCCTTGTATCACTGCTAACTATAAGGCACAGGGAGCCTTGGGCAGAAATGATAATAATATGGTTCTCAGATATGTTACTGTGTACAGACTGAACAAAAAATATATATACACTTGCTATTACATGTACATTATATCATTGGCAATAATAAGATCCAATTTTAGTTTTTAGTTACACACTGTTAACCACCAATAGATGAAAATAAATCATAAAATGTATTCAGCTCGACGTAAGACTTAAATAAATAGATACAGTTGGTTTAACTTGAATAGAAGTTTTAATTATCTATGCTGCATATATGCATATATCACCTTGCAGCTGAATCACATTACATATCTTTTTAGTTGATGTTCATATCGTCTTACGTATTTGTCAACATCAATGTGACCTTGTTCTATGTCACATTAGCCTATTCACGTTACCACGAATTTACTCACAACACCCTCGCATAGTTATGAATTAATTGTTTCACTTGACTAAAGAAACATTTTGTAGGAATGTATGCTTTTATAGATTGGACACTTGTTTGCAATATCATTGTCGGTGGAAACTGGCACTATACCTAAAGAATGACTGAACAAATAGCGGAGACGGGGTTTCAGCCGGCTGATTTAAATTATATCTTTAAATACAGTAAAGCTTGAAATATGTCAGTTTTCCCTCTTTAGAATGTTTTTGTAAATAAGTTTTTATTGTAGTTTCCGTGGCGTATTCCCAATAAGCGTTAGAAACAAAGATATACACCCTTAATCCCGGTGCCGATAAATGTTGGGTTGTGTGGAACATGCTAACAAATCTCAGGTACGATATATGTTTGATTCTGGTTGAGAACAGCATGAGATCAACATGATTGTTTTCATTGGAGATGAGACGCAAATATTCAAAGGGGTCAGACAAACTCTAAACCAACCGCGTTCCCTTCACTGAGTCCCTTCAAAGGAGGCCCTGTCTGTCTACCTGTGGAATAACATGCATTTGTATCTGTTAAATTTGTGTGGTAGACAGATTGATATTATTTATATAACGTCTTACCCCAAACAAATTGCAAAAGAAACCATGAAGTTTCTGAGAGCGATATTTCGTAATTAGTGTGCTTTAATGGTGGGAGAATAAATAATTAAATTTTTCAAACACAAACTGGTCATATATAAAATAGCATTTTCTGACAAGACCAGCGATAATCTCGTAAGATATGACTTTTACTATGTCTATTAAATGGTTTTCGACGTCTCTTCAAGGTCACCGTCTTGCGCCAAAGTCGTGAAACGCACCGTCGGGGGATTTGTTGGGGCCTGTCTCCCCCAGGAAAATTTCTAGAAATTTCAAGTCGGTCTTGCCTGGCAGTGAATACGGCAACCTGAAAGTGGTCGATTTTAATGTAGACATCTGAACTCCAATCAACAAATCAATCAACCAGGCTGTTGTCGTTGCATTCACATGACACCAGACGTGTCACCGATGAAACAAATATGCCTGAAACAAATGTCGCTGTTAGTGCGACCCATTTGTGACAATTTCAAGGTCCCAAATAATAGTCCTTTTTTACTATTAATAGTAATTCAATCAGTAAGTGCTATTTACCATATAATAGTCGTCTTGGCTTTTACCCGACATTACACAAAACACCAATGGTAACTGTCGGGTGGTCTCTCCAGTCTTAATGAAGGCGTGTATGGAAAACAGCTGAGACCAGAAAAAGGGCGGAAGAAGACTACCTGTCCTACTTGATTCTAGGACATATATATAGCATGGACCTACTTGATTCGACCAATTTAATACAAGGAAATGAATGGCATAGTTTGTGTCAAGTGAATTTAGTGAACTTTAAACCCCATTTACTCGCCCTCTCTCTACAGAGATAAATACTTTTCGTGTTACATACAATAACAATTATTGGCCATTATTAAAAAAATATATTAAAAGGAAATGAAATTCTGTTACCTGTTTTTCTTTGTGTAGTACATGCTAACATCAATGACTGAAAAAAAATAACGAAACTGTAGAGAAACTTCTGAATCATTGAAAGTCTAATATTAGGCCTACACATTGATGACATTGATATAAAAAAAAAGGCTGATTTGTTTGTTGTTGTTTTTTTCTTTTACAGAAATAAGATTACATTTCAACTAAACAACTAACACAAAAGTTAGAATCTAGCTATAGTCCATGTCTGGATATACATTTCTCCTTTTGCCCGAACGTCTATAAAAATCAAAGATGGCGGCCAATAATTGCAACCGGGTATTACTATAAAATCAAGACAGATTCTTACCTGCTGGTCCTAGTAGGGGGTTTCTTGCAATTATAAGTATTTGAACAACGGTGTAGCGCCGATTAGCTAATAATAATTAAGCACGATTTCAGAAAAATTAAGACAGATTCATTAGATTGCTGAATTAGCGGAACACTTTTAGAACACATCAAAAAAATTTTCTTTGTGGCGCCATTATATAAATAGACTTCCGGTGCAGTCAGTGGCAGTAGTTTTAAATCTGACTGTTTTAAACGAAACGAATTATTATATACATAGAAGCAATATATACATGCTAAATTAAATACACGGTTTTATTTTTTGTAAAAATTTACAAACCTGCGGTCTGGTATTCTATGTGACCATTATAATTTTTTTTAAAATATCACGGCTAAAGCACCCTGTTGATGCTAACTTCACTACATCTATCTAACTGAATGTCGCTGATATAATATCAAAGAAAGAATTTGTCGCAATGACTAAAGTATAGATACTTCTTCTTAGTTAGTTGTATTTTACGTCCGCTTCCACCGAAGTGATATCGCAGACAAAAAGTATAGATAACTTGGAGAACCATTATATCAATAAGTCGATTATGAGATACACGTGGATGATCAATTAAATTTGATTGGTTACTTTTCAGTTAACCAATACTGTCCAATTTTGATTACATCAACCAATTACATTATTAAGAGTTTTACTCATTTTTTTTGTTCATTGTACATTGAATCAATTTTCGAAAACACCAGGGTGCTGAAAATCACATGTACACTATATATTCATTTGATCTATCAGTTTATTGGGTCAATAAAAAAAGACAGACATTTTAACTTTACAGACAACTTAACATCAATTAACATTCAAGTCTGTCTGGCAATTGTCTGATTAATTGGTACTCACACCCTTCCAGTGAAGAACAGCATGTGATTTTCGAGATGTGAATTAAGCCCTTTATTACTTTTCTTAAAACTTGACGACTCCCGAATTCAGACTTTGTATGGAGTTTTTTTTTTAAAAAGAAAACAAATCTTGGAAGGTACACATTACTTGTGTTAATGATATGAAAAAAACACAAGATTTTATAAATCGACACAAGTTTGTGTTAATGCAATGCAAAACAACACATAACTTGTGTAGATTAGTTTTAACACAAGTGTTTTTTCAGTGTAGTTTCGGGTGGGAAAGTACTAAAATAACTTGACCTCCCTTGAAAAGTATGAACAGAGGTAGTGAGCACACCAGACTGTATCACAAGCACGACACACTCAGCTGACTTAAAGTACGGTGAATACAAGAAGTATTCTTCAATAGTGAAACAGTATCGTAACTGATCGTTAAGGGATATTAATTTCTTCATTACTTTTAGTATCTTGTGTTATGTTTTCCAGAATGGGTTTCCCTTGTTAGTGGGTGCAGGGTGGAGGTCTGACAAGTCTAATCGTACACTTAAAATAACTCTTGAAAGTTGGAATTCGATGTAAGTATGGGCCACAGCGTAGTTATCCCAGAACAATTTCCCTCATAGCACACTGTATGGCGTATACGGTATACCGTCTTCATTAGCGCAGTCGATGCAGAAAAGTAAGACGTTAAACCCCATTGCATTTCATTTCATCATGTGTTGTATGCGTTTTGTCTGCGCTGAAATAACGAAAATAGACAACCTTGTAACAAGGGCTCTAGTGATGTAAAATATTTTGAATCATACTTTTACGAATTAGAACTCACCGTGAATTATAAACCCGTAAACAAGAATTCTTCGAATCATCAATGGTGTCAAGAACGAGGATATCTTCTTCCGCTGGTGGAATATTGCGTTCTGTATCATGGGAACGACATTTCGTATCGCCCTTATTCATATTCTTCTTGAAAGATCTCACTGAACAGTCAAAGATCTTCACATATGCATCCTAGCTTAATAAAAAATACATACAACTTGCATTGACTTATGTACACAAAATGCGGAAGATCATTAGGGCCAATCAAATGAAAAACAAAATCTGATTATCTGACGACCGTGAGTTATTTATTTCAAGGTCGCCATTCACTGATTCTTCGAATAGCTAGGCCAACGCCGTACTTTATTTTATGTTACAGAATTGGTACATTTATGTCATGCTCCCATTAATATCATTCCTTTATTTTCATGCCTCCATTAAAATCATAAAATTTATACTCACATTAATTTCATACTCCCGCCAACTTCATACACGCATTGATATCATTATTAATATCATGATTCACCAAATTCATACTCCCACCAACTTTCATACACGCATTGATATCATTATTAATATCATTATTAATATCATGATTCACCAATTTCATGCCCTCATTACACAGAACGCTATTTATATTAAATTTATTTAAATTTTTATTTTTGGCCGTTTTGTTTTCGTTTTGTTTTGTTTTGTTTTTTTGACTTTACACAGATTTTATTGTCTGCAGAAGTAGCCAAGTTAAGCGATTTCTTTTCCATTTGAACAGAAAATTAAAATACGCATCAAAGGAACAACGGTAAAAAATCGTCACGTTTCTCGCGAACCGACGAATTTCGTGAAAATCGGAACAAAACTGACGGACAAAATGGCCGCCGCTTGTAAGCGAATAGTGTAAAAAAAAAATGGTATATCAAGGTTGTGGACCCTGTAGAGGTCACAATTTTAATCCGATTTTGATGCGTGTTTATAACCCGAAGATCTTGGTTCCTTTCGATATTTGCGCATATGTAATTGTAACCTCCTGAATTATGGCCCCTGATTGCACGAACAATCACCTTTTTTTAGGTTGTGGTCCCTCTGGAGGTTACAATTATTATCCGATTTAAAAAACCGTTTGATTATATCACCGTTACATCGTAATGAAGGTTGAGTTCGAATGTCCTAAAAATCGGACCAAAACTGCCGGACAAAATGGCCGCCGCTTGTACGCGAATAGTGTAAAAATATGGTATATCAAGGTTATAACCCAAAGATCTTGGTTCCTTTCGATATTCGCGCATATCGGATAGTAACTTCCTGGATTATGGTCCCTGATTGGTCGAAAAATCACATTTTGCCGTCGCCCCTGTCCGTCCGTCCGGACGTCCGTCCACAATTGTTTGTGGACACTCTACAGGTCACAATTCTTATCCGATTTTGACGAAACTTGAAATATAGGTTTATCTCCAAAAGATCTCGGTTGCTTTCGATATTAACATGTATCGGACCGAAACTTCAAGGATTATGGTCCCTGATTGTACGGAAAATTACGTTTTTAGCTTGTGGACCCTATACAGGTCACAAATTTTATCCGATTTTGTTGGAACTTGAAATGTTAGTTTATACCCCAAAGATCTCGGTTCCTTTCGATATTCGCACATATCGGATCGTAACTTCCTGAATTATGGCCCCTATAGAGGTCATAATTTTTATCCGATTTAAGAAACCGTTTTAATGGATCACCGTTACACCCTAAGGATGGTTGAGTTTGAATTTCGTGAAAATCAGCCCAAAACTGACAGACAAAATGGCCGTCCCTCGTTCTCAAATAGCGTAAAAATATGGTATATCAAAGTTGTGGACCCTCTAGAGGTCACAATTTTCTTCTGATTTTGATGAAACCTGAAATGTAAGTTTATAACCCAATGATCTCTGTTCCTGCCAATATTCGCGCATATCGGATTATAACTTCCTGAATTATGGCCCCTGATTGTACGAAAAATCGCTTTTTGTTTAGCTTGTTCTCTATCCATCTCTTGCAAAATGTGGGCGTATCCTGCCTGGCAGCCGCTGGTTACGGTTAAACATCAACGACCGTTGAACAGCAAGATATGATTCAAATCTGTTATAAATCGGAGGCATCCGATTTAATCCGAGAGTTGCTTATTGTCTTGTTTTTTTAGTAAATGGCTAATTTATATAACATTTAGGGCCTAAAGAAAGACCTGCAATAGGCAGATTTAGCTCTTGCATAAGATATGTTTAATAAAGACCCACTGACTTGTCTTTTGGTAAATTTTATCGCATTTTTGGCCATTTTATTTTCATTTGTTTTAACTTTACACAGTTATATAAGTTATCGCCGTTTCGTCTATATCCCTTTCAAACAAGCCGTTGCCATCTTTACGTTTCGCTGAACCTCTTTGATGCGCCCCTGTAAATTCGATTGAATCCAAACCTGGAAATTATCTATCGTGGCCATCTTGATTTTGGTTTATTTAATAATCAATTTTTTTACATTCAGGCTTGGATTAACAAACTTTTCTGAAAAATGTAAATGGCGTTCCGTAGCTTAAAGGAGAACATGAAATCAATGAATCATCAAGAAATTATCAATAAGAGTATGAATGAAGTTGGTGGGACAATGAATGGTTTTTAATGAGGGCGTGAAATAACGAATGATATTAATGGGAGCATGACCTAAATATGCCGATCCCGTAACATAAAAAAGTACTTCGTTGGCCTAGCCATCCGATAAATCAGTGTAGGGCGAACTTGAAATAAATTAGTTAGAAGACTGTTTTTTATGTGATTGACCTCAATAGGCTTCTCCTTATCTTGTAATGACAAGATAGTTATATAAAATGGCTATCTTGTAATTACAAGATAATTTTCTTTTTTTCATTTGAGTGACCCTAATGGTCTTCCGTACAAAACTGATATTATGGACACACACGTTTCAGATAACTTTCTGCTGTAGTTTGAATACATGATGATGAAAAGCGATTAATATCACATGTAAGTTAGATTATAATCTCGAAACGGGTAACTGACTCCGGGTCATTGGATCTAATTGCTAGGAATATATTATACTCAGGTTATTCAGGGTCTATAAGTACAGGAACGCTTAGCTGTATATGTTCAAATAAAGATAATTTTTTATGACATATATGTAAATATCAACATTATCATTATAATAAAGGCATGCAATATATTATGTAATGCAAATTGATAAAACTCGGTATGTTTAAATTTAATTTAAGGTTGGGATTATGTACTAATCCTGGGTTATATAATAGGTAAATCTTAGAAACCCAGTATCTAATGTAATTAAGTCTAGATGTTAATTTTTCCGTTTATTCTCGGTCACGAATTCGAAAAAGCGTTGACACAAAATGTGCCCTGTCAATATGGATTCGAAAAGACTTTGAAAGTGTGTCCAGATCATTGGAATTCGAAAAATATACGCCCCACGTAACCTAAAATTACAGTCTGTTCGTTCCCTTAACAGACAGAATAAAGAACCTTTTTTTGTCAAATACATGTATCAGTATTTATTTTCGGAAATCGACGAGTGAGATTATTTTACTAGATAATTTGGAAATTAGACGAATTTTTTTGGTAAAAGTTTGTAATCGTAACGTGGGATGTTATTTTTGAATGAGGCAGCTGAACTCTATCGAAGCTAGAAAATGGTTTATCAATTATATGGTTTTCGATGTCACATCCATCCTGAAAGCTGCCGATTTTTGTAGCTTTCAAAATAAATTGTATGGGTGGTAGCAAACGGTGTAAGTAAAACAATATATTAACAAACTAATAAGCTGAAACCAGTTCCCTATTTCAAGTAACTGAGTATTTCCAAAGGGCTTATTTTTATCACGGAAACTGTCTAAAGAATATAATTTCTCTTAAAGTAAAACCCTAAGAGAGACTGATATACTTGCAAATGAAATGAAAGGGGGCTTAACGGCTTACCTTCTGCTCCATACGGGTTAATGCTGTGAGGGAAAATTCAAATTCCAACTGTCGGGATTCTGTTACGTGCATGTCAACGTGTACATGGGACCTCCGGTTTTGGTCCCTTTAGAACGACTAGACGCTGTTCTTTGTCAGGCCCTCCTTCCTACACCAACTGGAAATCACGCCGGAAACTTTCCCGGCTAACCTCGGGAATTCCAGGTTAACGAGCCAGCACTTCACTTACTGATATGTCCGTAAGGAAGCAGTATAGGACGTTCATGAAAAGATACGTATACCTTGTCTAGTCTGACAAAACATCCACTACTATAGTTAAATAAGGATTATCTATATTCTTTACCTTTTCTGGTATTATTCATTCATCGTCTATATGGAAGCTCGTCGTGTATTTGAATTTCCCGAGTTATAAAATGGTTTTACTACATAACCTTAAGTCTCTTTAACCCACTGCCAATAATAGATAGGACCAAAATAGATGCGTAAATAAACAAACACTACTTACCTGTTTGTATACTAAAGCAATCAGTACTTGTATCTTACTCGCAATATCATGAAATGTATATACAAACATGTATACTCTAAATGAAAGTCGAATAGAGGCCACCCATAATGACCCGGAAGCAAATCTGTCAACGCTTTACGTAATATTTACACACAAGTCACCCATAACAACGACATGTCAGTTTTAAAGTATAATACTAAATCAAATGCAAGGTCAAGTAAGGTAGATTTATACCAACACATAATTACACAGAAATACCTTTTGAAAATAAATATTACTCTCAATGTAAGAATAACAACAGCTGAATATTATTACAGATGAATGCAATCATAACGCGATATGATCTTTTATAATAAATAAAATAGACAGCCATACCATCCCAGATGTTCCACATAAATATGGAAAGGGACTAAGGATCGATACAATTTTTGTATTGGTTATTTTTTGTTTAAAATGGAATAGGATTTAACGTTTAATTAATAAATAAAATAGACAGCCATACCATCCCAGATGTTCCACATAAATATAAAAAGGGACAAAGGATCGATAAAATTTTTGTATTGGTTATTTTTTGTTTAACATGGAATAGGGTTTAACGTCCTAATTGTCTACTCCATCGGGGCTAATTTAACACTGATATGGCGAAACAATACCAGAAACTCCCGGTCACTTTCTCGGTCAACAGTACGGGGATCGAACCCGTGACCTCCAGGTTAGCTAACCCGCGTCACGGCGAAAAATTACCCAATTTCCTAAATAAACTTTGTACGGTGGCGATATCAAGTTCCCATTGGATCGTCGCTTGTTATATTGCTTAAGCATACATTATGCAAGAGCTAAATTCTGCTTATTGCACGCCTTTCTTTAGGCCTAAAATGTTATTTTAATTATTAATTAAACATTAATTAACTTATCCAGACCATAATCTACTCTCGATGTCATCGTTAGCCTGTGATATGTATTGGATTTGAATATGTATTGGATTTAATTATTAATTAAACATTAATTAACTTATCCAGACCATAATCTACTCTCGATGTCATCGTTAGCCTGTGATATGTATTGGATTTGAATGCGATTTTCTGCTCAACGCCCATTGATGATTTAATCCAAAGATGGATAATCAAGATTATGCTTTTTATCGTACCGACTTTAGTAATTATGATGAGGCTAGGCCTAAAATTTAAAAGCTAATATCTCGGTTCAGATTGGATCAATTTGACTGAAATTTTCAGCAAATTCCCTTTACATTATTTAGGAGATAAACACCTCCTGTTTCGCATTTAGAGGGGTGTTATTGTCCAATAGACATGTCCTGAGATTTTACATTAGAACCCGCGACACTCTAAATGCGAAACAGGAGGTGTTTATCGACATTGTAACATGCTATTTTTTTAGAATTTTTAAAGAACTTATTTTATTGTGTAAACTTCAAAATTCGTCTTACTGCAAATCGGTTTTAGTGACGTAGTGGGGTAACTGGCTGCTCATGTTAAATTTGCCTCGCTTATCGTCTGGTTGCTATAGTAGCCGTATGAGTATAGACACACAAAAAACCCCTAAAATTCTCACTTCATTTTTTTAAAAGTAGTTTTTGAAACAAAATTTATGTTTCTGTAATAGATTTTTGAATATTTTGTTGTTTGTAGCTGTTACCTGACAAGGGGCTTGGCGTTTCAAGTTCATCTTCGGACATATCTCCAAATATTTCATCTAATGTACCGAGATCAAAATTGATTGTCTCCATTGTGGTTATCGCCATTAAAGTAGTACGCATGATATTAATACGCTTTGATTTTTCTAATTTAGAGGGGTGTTATTGTCCAATAGACAGTGTCTAATCGACCAATCAAAACGCAAGATTCACCCTTAAGCATGTTACAATAGTTGTTAACTATTATAGCTCTTTATATAATCCCCCTTTAATCATGTTTCACAACACGGCATAGATTTGGACAACAATGTTATACTGGTGTTATTTTAGCAGATATGGAAATTCATTGACCTAAATCTCCACTGCTTACAGTTAATCACGACAATAAACAACGAAATTCCAGTTAGCCCATAAAAGCACGGACGACAAAGTTCGAACAAAAAATATATTCTGGACGAAGTTATGACTGAAGATGTAGTGCAGATCATTTATCCATTTTATCGTTAGAAAGAAATTTACACTGACCGCTGAAGTAGCTTCTCACTTTTTAAGAAGGCTAAAATTATTCTTTTGCAAACATGATCTCTATCCGCATCCAATAGTCCACTTGTTCCACGGTACAAACCAGATGAAGCCACGAAAAATAAATCAATATAAATATTTTTATTCAAAATTTTTTTATTCATATCTAAGATTGGATTTCTCAAAACAACAGGCAACCGTCATCAGCAGAATGCCAGAAAATGAACTAACTGTAGCAAAACCAAACAGAACGTAGGTATATGAATCCACGCTGTCCTTTATCGCACCTGTAAAGATTAATTGTTATAACACCCGACAGAATAATTATATATAAATAAAATGGGTTTTAACTTCCTACTTTTCTACACCAACTTAGATAATGAAGACCGGCCCGACAAAATGTCACAATTTTAAATATTTTAGAAGATCCGTACACAATAGCTACAAGAATTTGTGTCTTTCTGTTCTGCCCATACTGGGAATGGGGTTGGAATAACGATCTTATTCAAGTAAAACGCTGGGTGCAAATGGACATTAAGCCGCACTGACAGACTGACTGAAGTAAACAAATGATTATTACCAGATGTTCCAAAAAGCCAAGCATACACTGAATGCCACTTTTATTTGGATTCGTATCAAAACCGAACGGATCAGGACAAACAAAACATATCTAGCACACCTGTTCCTCATTAATATAATAACTTTATGAAGAATGTTAGACCAGCTTTGTGTACCCCGCTTCAGCAATTATGGCCCAGATCTTCAGGGTTCGCAGGGAGCCACGGTGGCTAGTTGGGTAAGGCGATGGCTCGCTAGCCTGGAGGACGGGTGTTCCATCCCTGCATTGGCCGAGAAAGTTCATCCCGATTTTCCGACGTGGTTTCCCCTTGTCAGTGATGCAGGACGGAGGGCCAGACAAGGACAGCTGTCTAGTCCTTCGGATGAGACGAAAAACCGAGGTCCCGTGTAAACATTGGAATGCACGTAAAAGATCCCTTGGCAGTTGGAATTCGATATAAGAGTAGGCGATAGTGCCGCTGCCCGGACAAAATTTCCCTCATAGCACACTGTATGGCGTATGCCCGTCTTCATTAGCCCCGTATAGGAGCAGAACAGTAGGACGTTAAACCCCATTTCATTTCATGTCATTTCATTTCATTTCATGGTTCGCGAAAATATATAATATACAGCAGTTGGAATTGTCAATCAAATAAAAGGGAGACAAACGCCATTTAGATATGGACTAAGACGAATGTAGTGCGAGTTATAAATATACAATTTTTCCCTTAATTTTTTTCTACCCTCTTCCTGCATTTTTGGGTTGACTTTTTGGTCTAGAATTGGAGAAAAGGGGTCAAATTTGCAATTTCATAGCAGTTTTGGGTAATAATGATGATATTACAGCGGAGGGATAGGGGGTGTAAAGTGTCTTTCTGCAGAGCAATCATTTTGTCGGAAGTGAGATATTGACCCCAGTAAACTTCAAATCCCCGTAGCAAAAAATCTAAATGGTCAACCCCCTATAAATTTATGATGAGGATATTGCCAAATGTGGTCCCCATTGTGCCTATAAAGATTGGAACCAACGGAATGTTGAGCAAAAGGATATAGCCTGTGATGTTACAGCCATTTAACATTGAAGTCAATGGGCAAACAATAGCTAGTCTTAGTCCATATGGTTCTTTTTCGTCGTCTTATCCTAAAATGAAGATTCCATATTTACAAGATGAAAGATTTATATTGTTTTAAACAGAAAAAAACCCAACAACATTATTTGCTTTCTTATTATGAAACAATAAGTAGATCAATAATAATCTCTACCCTTGAGAGATGGGGAGAGAGGGGTAACGTTCACTCGACATATACTATGTAATTTCGGGACTAAAATATGGTTCAACCACAAACGCTATGTGACTCAGTGGCAGACCTTATGATATAGCTAGGGTGACCCGTGTAGTGAAAATTTTCCCTACAGAAAGTTGGACTTGACACGGCGAATGTGCACGCTTCAGTGGCTTGTCTCGAAGTGTTTCTGGCTAACCACGCAGTATAATCAGTGCTAGAGTCTATGAGACTGAAAATAGCCATCGCACGTGCAATTCTCTACACATCTATCAACTATTACAGCCGTAAAAAAATCTATTGTTGACGATTCTGAATAGCAGTAATATTTAGCTTTTTGGTTATTACAGCAGCTTTAGAAATTACGTTCGTTTTATTTTTTAAATTGCTTTATCATTAACTGTACCGTTAGGGGAGGCATCTTTTGGTTTAGTACAAATAATAGCAGTAATATTTAGCTTTTTAGTTATTACAGCAGCTTTAGAAATTACGTTCGTTTTATTTTCTAAATTGCTTTATCATTAACTATACCTTTAGGAGAGCCATCTTTTGGTTTGGTACAAATAATATCTCTGAAACACTAGGGTTAGGCAAGAACATGATACTAGCAGTAGTTTCATTTTACTTTTACAAGGTTCTTAAAACTATTTTTGAGATGGCTAACGTGCCTGTTTCTAAATTCAATTTCTTGTTCCAGCTTTCTGTTATGTTTCGTAAAAAAAGTAGTCTTGAATATCCCGGCCTGCCAATCAGACGTAGAATGGTCGACAGACTGGTTAAGCGAGACTAAATTCAAAACAAGGACGCGTAACCTACTTTTACTCACAGGTGCCCGGATGTTATGAGCATTAGGAGAGGCATCTTTTGGGTTGGTACAAATAATATCTCTGAAACACTAGGGTTAGGCAAGAACATGTTACTAGCAGCAGTTTCATTTTTTTTTACAAGGTTCTTAAAACTATTTTTGAGTTGGCTAACGTGCCTGTTTCTAAATTCAATTTCTTGTTTCAGCTTTCTGTTATGTTTCGTAAAAAAAGTAGTCTTGATTATCCCGGCCTGTCAATCAGACGTAGAATGGTCGGTAGACTGGTTAAGCGAGACTAATTTCAAAACAAGGGCACGTAATTTACTTTTTACTCACAAGTGCTCGGATGGTATGACCGACACTCGTAACCATCTTTCGGTGTATTATTTATGGATGGTTAAATGGTCATAGCTTATTAAGTACAACATGGCCGTTTATTTAGTGACTATAATGTGGGAAACTGAGTTAAGGCCTGGTATATATATAAATATTGTGGTGTAATTGTCGAGATATTTATTTATGGTGGGTCACATACGTTAACCATTTTGCCGCAACCCTCCCCCTCCCCGCCGGCCTATGTAGACATACTAAAAAAAAAATGCCTGATATTCCAAAGCCATTTGAATCCTTTACCATTTCAGAATTTCTTGATATGTTTCTGTCCTTAGCTAAACGAGGCCCCCATTTGATTGGTTTTATTATCACGACAATGTCAATAAACTGTATCTAATGGATAGGTCACGCTTACCTCCAATTGGTCCGGCTATTCCAAATCCTATCCCCATGCCTGTATTAAATATACCCAATGCAGAAGGATAATGTTCTTCGCCAGCTATGAAGAAGACAGTTGTGGCAGCTGTTGAGGCTATCATACCATACGCTAGACCAAACCATACACATGCTGCCAATATGAACACATAACTATCAGCTACTGCAAGTGCGAATATTGCGAGTCCAGAGAACATAATGTACAAAGCGTATTCTTTGACTGGGGACACCTTCATGATCGGTCTCGTGAGCAGTGCTAAAAATCGACCACTCAGGTTTCCAAACCCCACTACCGATAAAAACAACGAACCTGTGGAAAGGTCAAATTGTTTGTATTCGGCTATATCCAACATGAAGAACGTTACTAATCCAATGGGCACAGACCTTAGTATAAGACACACTATGGAAGTCACAAATAAAGGATCTCTCCAAAGTGATATATGCGATTGGAAAAACGGACTATCGAGGCATCGCTTTTTAATGGAACCGGTGGTGGTTGCATTTGTAGATAACAAAGAACGTATCAGCAGTCCAACCGGCAAAGTATTCAGCATCACGCCAACAAGAATTAAAAATGTGCCTCGCCATCCATAGTTTTCTAGTAACACAGCATTTACATTGGGGAAGACGAATGAACCAATTCCTCCCCCAAGAAGAAGACAAGACAGCGCCATATTATACTTGTCTTTAAAAACTCGACCAATTACTATAAACAGACTGGTGAACATGACACACAATGCTAAACCTGGAACACAAAGAAAAGAAATCGATATGATTAGATAAGATGTAAAGTGTAATTTTCAATGGAAATTAATTACTATTTCGTTTAAATTATTAAAAAAAAATATACGCAACTTTAATTTCAAAATGAACAAATTGCTGTCGAAATTAGAAAGTAAATTAAGAGGATTTTTTATTTGCATGCCGTCCACCCAAAGATTTGTATAACGAAACCAGTTTACAATTTTAAAATTCCGCACAAATTTTGTTTGTCTTGTGGGTTAAAGCACACAGAAAAACACCTTACCGCCTATAACCCCTACACTAAGGATAACCAGTGGCAATTTTTCGAACACAAACCCACCAATTGCTGCAAGACTAGCTACCAAGGCACTAACCGAGAAGGCATCACCAATGCCCATTACACTGGTGACAAAGGATGAAATTATACCTGGAAATAAATATAAGATTAGCATAAAAAAAGGAAAAAAGTAGCGATTGAAATAGTGATATTCCTCTATTTGCATTGAAATAGCAATAGATCGCTTTCAATAAGAACACAATATGTATTTAATTTTATATACTTTATGATTCTAAATAGGTACGCCATACTACCGAAAATCTAACCACGCTTCTAGAGCAAATAATAACCACAACTTGAGTATCATTTAGTAAGTTGTGTTATTTCAGCAGGAGATTCTGTATTTAATGTTTAGTTTCAAACCATTGTTGGAAAACTGTTCAAATCTGTTGGGAATCATAGAAAACCGTTGGGTTTCTACTGTTGTGTAGTTTAAAGGGTTTGTCTAGATTAGATAATGAGTGGATTCCATCACATGTCAACATTAGAGGAAACGAGGAGGCAGATGGACTCGCCAACGAAGGTCTTAAGGACACAGCACCACTCCGTACCATAGACTACAGCACCACGGAAATCTACAGTATGGTTAAAAGACAGGTCAATTCATTCTGGGAATTAAAACTCGTTGAACTTGACACATACAGATTCAGACTGGATGACAAAATCTACACGGAGACAGCGATTAATCACCCTAGGAGAGATATATGCAGACTTATATCGAAACTAAGGGTGAAAGAGCGGCTGCGAGACTACAAACACCAAGTCATCGTCTGTGAGTGCGGAGAAGAATGTACCACCAACCACGTCAGGGGAGTAAGGGGAGGTCAGGATAAGACGGGCCTGGCACCTAAACACAAATCCCACAAAGATGACATCTACCAAACTAGCAGGATAGTGGAGTAAGGGGAGTTACGGTCAGACGGACTCGGGACCTAAACACTATTCCGCAAAAGAAACAGATACCAAACCCACAGAGTGGGATTGTGGAGTAAGGGGAGGTCACGATAAGACGGGCCTGGCACCTTAACACTAATCCCACTACGAAGACATCTACCAATCGATATGTTTTTTACTAAATAAAGGGGAGAACTTCCCACAAAACCCAATCCATGGCCTAAGGCCGAAAATGGAAAGATTGCAAAATCATATTCTAAAAACAGGAAGCAGCTTCGGCTCTCCTATTTCTTGTCTGCGATATCACTTACTAGTATGTGGAAGCAGACGTAAAACACCAGGATAATACTACTACTACTACTAATGGCTTAAAACTAAACATCAAATACTAAACAACACAACTAAATGATACCTGAGTTGCAGTAAGTGCACGAGCTTTCGGCTGAACCTATTATAAACCACTATCGGCTAGAATTAAATTTGTTGGCAGATGGAAAATACACTGTTTGGTGTCCTCTAAAATAAATAAATATAGACTGTGAGTATTGTATTGACTATAATCAAATACTGGAATATTATAACTTACCACCGCCAAACATTAAGCCGTTATTCATGGACTGTATTAATGATGTATCAGATCGACTGGAACCGAAAGTCCACTTCATGTCCAGAAATAACACTGCAATACCGTACGAATAACCAACCAAAAGAAAGTTACACATACAGCATAACCACAGCAGTAGCCAGTCAGTGACAGGTCTGCAATTAACACAATATATTTTGTATATTATTTAGGAATAATACAGCATTTCCATAAATGATTAATAACAACACGTAACCGACATTATATTATACATGGAATTACAATCGTTGGATTTGGATGGAGTTTAAAGTCTCTTCAATGTACATAAATATATATTTAGACTAACACGTAAGTTATTTTTTTCTGTGGTTAGGTGAACAGTGCGCGGTAGGGGTGGGGTTCAGGTTGCAATGCGGCGTATGAATGGTTGCTTTAAGTGCTATATGTACACAGGTGGACCTCGAGGTTTTTTTTACCCATTGTCAGCCCCTTCCCGGAATTGTCACTATGCAATAACAAAAGATGGCATTGTTTCTGGGATGTGTTTAGAAAAGTGAATTAAACTTTCGATCGACATATAATCCACGGTGTTTCAGGAAGAGAATGTATGCATATACATTATCATTCGCCCTAACTTACGGAGGTTTTGAAAACTGTAAAACATATGTCCTTGTTGTCGCTGAGGCGTCAGTTCTCGAAATAGCCATAAAACATAAGAGGACACAAGTCGCACACCGAGATACTTGGCAAGATATATGTTCGCCCTTTATTATTTTAGAAAAAGCAACATTGTCAATGGAAAGATTTATATTTGTAGGAATTGTTTTCTTGGACCTTACCTCTTTTTATTTTTGTTATTGTCTGCAGTCACATTATCGACCTTCACTGCCACTAGAGAGTCGTTCTCAATCCCTAATTCTCCATTGGCTTCTGTAGACGTGGCTTCAAAATCTTGATTGCTATTAGTTAATTTAGCTTGTACATCCATGACAAATGGTCTCTTTTTCGGTATTACTACTTTAACACTTGTACCTCATTTTTCAATTAGGATTGTTAACCCTCACTTGCATCTGCAATGAATAAATTAATTGATTTTATAGTTTAACGAACACAATTTTTATTGGAAACAATCACTGGTTTTAATATAAAAGGTCAACGTTTCGACAAGTATCCTCTTATCGTCGTTTAATCGTCCGAAATAAAAGCTTAGGGGGCAGATAGAACTAAGCTCTATGTTTCGTATGTTGGCTTTGGCTATATTCCTGAAGCTGTTATTTATTCTTAATGAAGATGAACCATTCTTGCTTTCTCTGCACCTTTTGACGACTATCAGATAGTTGACGGTCAGTTAAGAGAACATTCAGAAAACACCGTTAGAAGATGTTTAAGCAGTTTTAGCCAGACTCCGACCATGACATACATTATATTGTACACATTTGGAAAACTACATCAACTACTGTTCCAAAGACATATCTCCGACCTTTCTGAGACTAAAGTTGTGTACAAATCCATAGACCTACCAACTTTCATATTTCTAAAGGTTGGGAATCAAACACAGCGGACTACGAAAAAGAGTTGGCCACTAATAGCTCAAAAGCACGTCATTTTGATTTAGCCTTTAGTCTTTCTCTCCTTTTCTCCCCCCCCCCCCTTTGCATGGCGATCTATGTTGACTTGTTGGTGTATAATCGAAGAAAAGGGTTTGAATATACATTTTCTGCCAGGTTTTAGTGAATATTCATGATTTGGAGGCGGGAGGATACGAGAGGTAAGAGGTTAGTGAGGTTGAAATGTAGGCAGGAAAATTGCACGTTTGTCGATCTCTACTTCCAGTTTGTATATCTCAAGTTTTCTATGATGAACCTCATACGTCCAAGAGGTTGCCACATGTTGCTCCATCTGTGGTAGAAAGCGTTCTACAAAACGAACATTTGGGAAAAAGTTAGAACGGATCTAATAGACGGAATTAACATTAAAGTCAATGGTGATCTGTGACCTGTCTTGACGATATGAAGACTAAATTCTCCGAAAATATGTACAAGATATTTGACTACAGAAAAGCTAACAAAAAAAGTTAAATTTGAAAAAGAAAATCAAAGTTTGGAGGGAAAATGTGATTTAACTGCAAATTTCAAAATTCTCAGTTAGAGCAGGTATTAACATTAAAGTCATTGGTGATCCGTGGCCTGTCTTGAAGATATGAAGATTAAATTCTCAGAAAATATGTGCAAGATAATTTGACTTCAGAAAAACTAATGAAAAAAAGGTTAAATTTGGAAAAGAAAATCAAAGGACTGGAAACGTGATTTTACTGCAAATTTCAAAATTCTTAGTAAGAAAAACATTTAATGTCCAATTTTGCCTTATTCAGCCTCAAATGATAGATAAAGTGAACAGTATTGCAATTTCACAAAATGTCGTTTAAAAATAAGGAATATTCTCCAGATTCCCCCAGCTTGATGTAGAAATTAAACCTTTTCATGACTACTAAAATAAGTCAAAATGTCTCAAAATATCTTTATTTTCATTACTAATATAACTTAGATGGTGGGATCCATAAGTTTGTCAGATTTTAGATGTGCCAAATTCTCCAGCTTTCCTACAGAAAACTGAAAATTGGTAACACTATCCTAATAATGAACAGCAGATGGGTTTGTAATAAATGTTCAAAACAGGGGTTGGCTCACTTTTGCGACTGTTTTACCCAGGACAAAAATTTTGTTTCATCTTTGAAACATTAAATTCTTGCATTTCCTTCATGTAGAAAGCCAAATTCAAGTCTTTCTAGGCAGTTTTCACTCCGCCGTTCCATTAGGAGAGGCTATAAACTCCCCATCCCACCTTTTTAAAAATGTCTTTCGAGAGATAGTTAATTGCACCTGTATTGACATTTAAATGATAGTATTGGAATTGTAGGTTGAATTACAGCTAAGAATGTTATTTTGCACATTTCAAGGATTTCTAACCCTTTTTGTTTAGAGTCAAACTTAGAATTCTGAGGCATTTCTGGCCAATGAGACCACACCCTGATATTAAACTGGTGTAGATATGTCAGCTTACTTTTCAACATTTTATCAAAATCTAGCATTTGTGGTGTTTGTTGCATAATTATGTTATTTATAGGAAAATAAAATGTTAATATTGCTCATTTTCAGGCCTCTTTTATGTTGTCAACGTCCATTCGACACAATCTAGGTCTTTTCGGGTGTAACATATGGTTCAATTTGATTTCAGTATTTCGCTAGCGCGTAGATGTCTTTAGCAGTGGGAGGACCCGGAGAAAACCGATGAGGTTGGACAGGCTACCCTACTCCACGTCACGTACAATCGGGGAATGGAATCCACGCTAGGTGACTCAATGACAGACCTTACGATAAAACGCACACGCGCTTACCCCCCCCCCCCCGACCCGAGATGCACCTGCACCGCTGTACATAAAGCAGCATATATACTGAAAGGGCCATCATTTTAGCAGTTATTCTTTGATTTTCTTTCACCAGCATGGTGTCAGAATACATGGGAGGCAAATAAAAAAGGCCCGTTTCACCCCTATATAGGACCCAGCTCACCAATTATTCCTACGCTGGTTAACAAAACAAGGGTGAAAGTTATTTATAGTCTTTCTCTTCCTTTCCCTCCCCCCCCCCCTTGCATGGTCATCTTTGTTGACTTTTTGGAAAAAGGTTTGAATATACATTTTCTGCCAGGTTTTGGTGAATATTCATGATTTGGCGGCGGAAGGATAAGAGAGTTAAGAGATTGGACAGGTTGAAATGTATGGCGGAAAATTGCACGTTTGGTTGGTCTCTACTTCCAATTTGTGTATCTCAAGTTTTCTATGATGAACCTCATGCGTGCTTTTGAGAAGAGATTGGCACATGTTGCTCCATCTGTGATAGAAAGCGTTCTACAGAACGAAAAATTGATTGAGAAAAGTTAGAGCTGGTCTAAGAAACGAGAATTAACATTAAAGTCAATGACGAAATCATTGGTGATCCGTAGCCATAATAACGGTAACAAACAGTAAGAGTTGTCTGTAAAACATCGTCTGCTACTCCCGAGTAAACAAGCAAGCTTATGAGATAGAGAGAAATGGGGTTTAACGTGCACTCGACACAAACTAGGTCATTTCGGGACTAACATATGGTTTAATTTTATTTCAATAATTCGCTTGCGCGTAGGGGGTCTTTAGCAGTGGGAGGAAACCGGAGGACCCGGAGAAAACCCACGAGGTTGGACAGGCGACCCTACTCCTTGTTACGTACAACCGGGGATTCGAAACCACACCAGTCGACTCAATGACAGACTTTGATACAGCGCGTGCACGCTAACCTTTTAGCCATCCAACCCCCCAAAAGCGAGAGAGAGAGAGAGAGAGAGAGAGAGAGAGAGAAATGGAGTTTAACGTCCACTCGACACAAACTAGGTCATTTCGGGACTAACATATGGTTTAATTTTATTTCAATAATTCGCTTGCGCGTAGGGGTCTTTAGCAGTGGGAGGAAACCGGAGGACCCGGAGAAAACCCACGAGGTTAGACAGGCGACCCTACTCCTTGTCATGACAACCGGGGATTCGAAACCACACCAGTTGACTCAATGACAGACTTTATGATACAGCGTGCCCCCCAAAAGCAAGCTTATACGTGTGAATCTATAGTGTCGATATTTAAATTTGTAAGTTTATAAAAACGGTTGATCCTTATAATTAGTGGAAGAATTCCAACACAACTCATATAACGAGTCCAGGGGCGGATCCAGAGGGGGGTTTGGGGGGGTCACCCCCCCCCCCCCCCCCCACGCTCAGCTACATATTTTTTTTTGGTAAATCAACACTTTTTAAGACAAAAGTTTCTCGGCCGCGTGCTTTATCATTTATCGTCAGATGTGGGACAGGATTGGCACTCAAAGCACGAGATAATGATATAGACATTATGTGATATCACAATTAATGATTTGCATCCATGAAATTGAATCACAATGTCATTGTATTAATTCATAATAAAAATTGACGTCAAACGAGGTGTTGAATTTCTGTTTAAAAAGCTCAATGTCAAAATGACGATAGAGACCATGCGGGGGGGGGGGGAGATACATTGTCCCAGGAACCTGGCAAACCCCCTCCTGCAAAAATTCCTGGATCCGCCCCTGAACGATATAAGTTCTGTTATCACAAGGTTTGGAATACACCTTTATGATTAGTCCAATGGTAGACGCCTAAGCTACAGCGAGAGTGTTGAGTTTCTGTAAAATACGGGCACACAACTATGCATTACAATAAAATTCACAAATAGGTATATCTTAAGTAGCATATGTCAGAGTTCAACATACATAACAAAAATCAACAATGTATGCGATATCAGTAAAATCGAGGTTTGGCTTGTATATTGGGCTAACGATACACATTATATGAAACCACTCACACACAACACTGCCATACGCAGTTGTGAGTATATTATTGACTTTTGATAACTGTATGCTGGGCCTTCTATATCAAAACAAACATTTTATGGTAAAATGAAATGAGTCTGACGTTGTAATGAACCGTATGAATTAACCAAATTAAGTATATTATGGCCTGGTTTCCTTTAATATTATATCACTAGTATCTAAATTAGATACTAATGCAAAGCTTGTGAGTTATATGTATGAATCTTGTTATTTCCTCACATCCACCGACGCATTTACCCTTAGTGCTCGGTATATAAACATGCGTACGTGTGAGCATAACATAACAACTCGCGAGCGCGTGATACTAACCGTATTAGCATAATATCATGCCGATCATCTTTCGATATATCCACCCAATTCCACAGGTGTACACCTCTTCAAACAAGTAACATACGAGAGGAAACGTATTATACTATACTCATGTGATACATCAATGAACAAGTAGCTGATATATATTCTTTATCTTGTGACATCCGTGGGTAACTATTGATTTGTTGTTATCAGATGCGGCTACACACCAAAGTCATCTAGAGCCATTACTAAGTGCTTGGCCAATAGACCATCACACAGCACAAGCACAGCACATTGATCGACTGTGGGTTTTTTTTAAACCCAACGCGTCTTCACGTGTATGCCTTTGGTGACTGTACACAAACTGAATGGAAATGTTCGAAATGGTCTGGTTGCATGCATTAATTTGCTCCACTAGCTCGTATACAATTGGCTGGAAGATAAGCCTTTCACTTCAATCAACAAACAGACTAAGACTCTCTTCGCGAACCTTGACATTATTGTAAATTTTTGATAAATTATTGTACGAATACAATACAAGGCCGGTGGAAACAATTATTTAATGGCGGCGGGGGCGCTACCATCATAGGATTTTAGGCGAGGGTCCACTAAGCCCCGGAAACTCCTTGGGGTATAGATCATCAGAGACGCTTTATGAGCGATAAAGTTACTCAGAAATGAAGTGAAATTTTATTTCTTTTCTAAATCCCTTACTATGCAAACACAGTCGATGGTGGTTCCCTGGGATACTGAACTTGACAACTATATGTATATAATAATACCAAGATTGTGGTCACAATTTTTTTATACGATTTTGATGAAATTTTAAATGTATGTTTATAACCGAAATATCTCGGTTTCTTTCGATATTAAGAGCATATAGGACTATCACTTCCTACATACATTTTCAACTTGTGAACCCTTATAAAACCGACCAAATATATCACCTTTACACCATAATTACGTTTGGGTGCAAAGTTCATGAAAATCGGGCTGAAACTGTCCGACAAAATGTCCGCTACCCTTAAAAGTATGTAATACCCAGGTTGTGGAGCACACAAAGGTTGGGATTTTCATGCAGTTTGATATATCCCAAAGGTCTGGGTTTCATTCGATATAGGCGCGTATTGGACCGTAACGTTCTGGATTATGACCCCTGATTGTACAAAATATCACGTTTTTAGCTTGTGGGCCCTCTAGATGTCACCATTTTTATCTTATTTTGAAAACCGTTAGATATTAATTATAGTTAAGTATGAATTTTGTGAAAATCAGACCGAAACTTTCAGTCAAATGGCCGCTCCCCTTTACGCAAGTAGTATAAAAGCATGTAATGCCCAGGTTGTGGACCGTCTAGGGGTCACAATTTTTATCCGATTTAGATGACACTAAAAACGAGTGTCACTAGGTCTTGATTTAGATGAAACTAAAAACGAATATCACTAGGTCTTGAATGAGTTCAATTTTGGAGCGCATTGGTCCCCTGCCTTCTTTCAAAATGTGAAATACGAATGAAGTTTGTCGATCTTCCAGAGGCGACAATATTTGTCCAATTCATGGGGTGAAACTTAAACTATATGTTAAGGAACAAAAGTTCTTGTATGAGTTCGACTTTGGTACGCACCAGACCTTATATTTCAGAGCTATAGACCCAGCTTTTTACGTACGCAAAATGTGAAATATGGATGAGACCTATTGATTTTACCTCTTACCCTTACATTTGTTGCAAAATGTGGGCGCATCTCGCATGGCAACCGCTTGTTTCAACTGGTCATAACTGATAGCAGTGAATTATTTGATGGATAAGGGACACAAGGAAACAGTGTAAGAAAAACTCTATCCCGTCATGTGTTTTTAATTACCTAATCTGTCATAGATACAACGAAATTGGGATGGGGTTGAAATAAAGATCGACTGTCAAGTTAAGTAATCGTGACCCTCGCAACTGGCTGGTCTAAACCCACGGATCAGTATAGAGCATAGCAGGGTTTTCTTCTGAAAGTCTACGTTCTAGAATAATCACTTCTATGTTAAAAATCAGGCGTCGTTGTATCTAACCGAATAATTACTTGTGTGCAATAACCTGGAGAAAGGAGTACCCCCGCGGGCCTGCAATACCATCTGAAAATTCTTGCTTCTTTGAAACCGGAAATTCCTAGGTATCTGCAAAAATATGACGTCCCCCATTCAATACTACTCCGTTATTGTATATAATAATAATATACTAAACAGCAAAAAAAAAACCCAAAAAAAAAACATCAGTACGATTTCAGAATCAGAGAGGCACTTTAATCAAATCATTCTAGAAAACGACTTACTCAATGGATCAAAGCAATCTTTTGTGAACAGTATGTTGACACATTAGTGATTAATTCACCACAATTCCAAGACATTACGAGAAGGTTTAGAGTCTGTACACGGTCTATACATCAGTATCTGGTTCGTCCAACGCAAGTGTCAATAACAGCAGCGCGGAGTCTGTACATGGAGTGGACCAGATGATTGATGAACGCCATTGGCACCTGGAACCACACTCTTGGAAAAGCCTGGCGCAATCCATCGGCTGTGTTTGGTCTCGGTACGACGTTATTAAGTCTCCTGAATTTCATCCCAAAGATGTTCAATCGGGTTTAAGTCCGGACTAAGGACTGTCCAGTGCATAGCGTTGACACCCTTCTGCTGTAGAAAGTCCCGAGTAACTCTGGCGGTGTGGGCACGGACGTTGTCATGCTGGAAAACGTTGTTTCGATGACGTGCGAAATGTGGTATGACGTGAAGTCTGAGAGCTTGATCAATGTAGCGCACTGCTGTGATGCCGTCTCCTCTCCCCGGGCCAAGATTTTGGAACACCACTGGACCCACTCTCTGGTTCAGGAAGCTTCCACACCATACCATTATGCTTGGACCTCCCCATGAGTCTCGTTCCATGACACATTGGTCGGGATAACGCTGGCCGCGTCGAAGCCATATTCTGGTCCTGCCATCTCCAGTTGATACGCAATACCGACTCTCATCTGTGAATAGAACAGTTCTCCATTGCCTGTGTCGCCACTTCTGGTGTTGTTGGGCAAACTGCAGACGGTCACGTCGATGGCGACGGGTGAGTATCAATCCACGGTAAGGTCTACGGCAATGGATGTTCTCTCTGGTGAGACGTCGGCGCACTGTATCGGTACTGATGGGTCTTCCGTGTGTTCCCACAGTCTGACGTGCTGTCTCAGATGCATGTGTGAAGGGATTCTGCACGTGCTGTCGCACAACATGGCAGTCTTGTCGCCTTGTGGTAACCCTTGGTCTACCAGTTCCTGGGCGATCATCGGTGGTGTTGGTGGCTCGAGAGCGTTGCTGAAGCCTGTAGATGGTCCGAACATTGACCTGGAAGTGATTGGTAACGGCTCGGGCAGTATGGCCAGCGTCGAATCTTCCAAGAGCCCATGGTTCCTCCGAGCTGTCGTGGGTCGTGGCATGCTGCTGACATTGTAGTGTGAATGATTCAACCAGGTATTGGGGTGCATTGTACAGGGCTGGTCCCGGTGAACAGCACGTGTAGCATGGATTACATGAAAATCACGGAGAACACATTACCATCTCAGAAGTCAGGTTGCGTTTTTGAGAACATTTCCTGGGTTCAATTCTGTGTTTAGGAAGGAGACTTATTGCTCAGGTCAAGTTGGAGATGTGGTCACAAATATACAATAAAAACATTTGGCAAGTTTTATGCAATGCGTCTATTCAGAGTAACATACCAACCTAACGCTTCTTTTGCTGCTTAGTATAATAATAATAATGGACATTTGTAGAGCGCCAACATCCAGCTAGATTAGCTGTTCTGATGCGTTGTTACAATATCAATAATAGCCGGGGAAAAAAGATAATTAAATACACATGTAATGTCAAATGGAATAAAGTTTAAAGATCACACTGGGGAATCACGAAAGCTTCGTTAATAAAATGAATTTTTAGTTTGTTTTTGAAAATGTTTATGTTGTCTGCACTTTTCAGTTCAAGTGGAAGCTCATTGCATAGTGTCGGAGCAGCCGTTTTCAAGCTGCGGAGACCAAGATTACTTTTTACTTTTGGTACAACTAACAGGTTCTGGTTCTCTGAACGAAGGCTTCTGGTTGGTTGGTATTGTCGTAGCGGTGTGGGTGTGTATTCAGGGAATTCAGTAGAGTAGAGAGAACAGTATGTGAAACATCAGATTTTAAATTTAATGCGATATTCTAAGGTCAACCAGTGCAGTTCTCTCTGTACAGGGGTAATACTAGTGAAAGGTTTTGATCTGGAAACAATTATTGCTGCTTTGTGCCAATTTGGTAGATATGAAAGTTATAGATTATGTATTTCGTATATTATGTTACTTATTATCTTTTGAAAGTAATCATCTTATGAATATATTATATATATATTAGTCACCAATTACATGCTTTTGTTTGTTTATTTCATAATATGACACTGTTCCCACCCCATAAAATATGTTGATTTGTTATGCTTAATGTCTGTGTCTTGTATTGAAGCAAATTTATTCAATATTCAAGAAGCATTATGCATATTATTGTGTTTCGGTGTCTTATAAAAATTTAATCGTGAACTAATCTCCTGAGAATGAGAACTAAAGCTGCTCACAGATGCGCGAGTGCTAACGACAAGTGCTAATGCCTGCTAATAAATGCAGTCTTGCCACAAACTTGGACAAAATTAGAATGTCCCGAGAATAACGTCTTCTAATCGTCCGTTGATGTCGGAACATCAATGTACATCGCGGTCAAGACGTATTCTAATCTATGACCCTTATAATTTAATACTATATCTAACGACTATATACAACCTTTAGTCTTTAGTTTGTAGATTTGAAAAGAGGTTATCACAGCATGGCAACTGGTTACCTTTGTATTCAATGAAAAGAATATTATTAGAATGTGACATACCCAAGGTAATAAGAAGAATGTATAGGTTGACGAAATGCCAAAGCATACTTGCGAAACATCACCACGTGATTATCATCTTTTCGCTCCACAAAAACACATAAGTTTTCCAGTCCCAACGATCAACCCCACGATATTTAAAGCATGTAAATTATGAACGGTCTTGTAACGCATTGCTTTACAAAAAAAAATGTACATGGAAGATAAATCCGCAAAACACATCCGAAATTTACATCCCAAAATATTGAATTTGCAAAGGGGCCTGTCAAATTAAACAAATTTTTTAAGAATCATATTGCAAACTG